AAATTCGTACAAATATTTCGGGTATCCTACCTAATCATGGCATCGAAGAACTAACTGGTGAGCATCGTGATGTGCCCGTCTGAGATCTTTTATTTTTATTTGTAGCACTTACATATGTCGGTCAGTGTCATAGTGAAGTGCGTAGCTCAGTCTCGTGTCCAAGTCCTCGGAAATTTGATCACTCCATCTTTTTATGGCTCTGACCTATGGATCGTCTTCGATCCAATTTATCGAGGGACGAGGGATGTATGAAAAGAGTGTGGAACGAAGCTTTAGATTTGAGTGAAAGAAAACGGTAAGAAAGCGAAAAGAAAATGACAGACAGAATGACAGAGAAAAGGGAGATGGCGAAGACGGTTAAATGAGCAAGACGTAAAAAAGTTGTCAATTAATTTTTTATTATTATAATACAGAGGATTTGAGAAAATAACAATGAAAGTGCAAAAAAGAATAGTCATATTTTATATGCCACGGTCCCAATTACGCATTATTACTTAGACCTTGTGTGCCAAGGTCGGTGACAGTGCTCAAATTGTAATGTCTATGAGTTCCAGTAATCCCAACACTGGGCCAGCGGCTCCAACACCCGTCCGTGAGTTACAAGTAGGGTCGGAAATAGACACGGCCTTCGATCACTAAGGAACGCGCAGAAGAAACCATAATAACTAAACACGGAATGTCGTTACGCAACACAAAAGGACTCGGTTATGCTCTCAAGTCGCCATGGCCACGAGCCGCGTTTCTATATACATACATACATATGCATGGTTTTGCACAATGCCAGACGTGCCGTAAAACTTATCTGCATTACGTGGGTAGTTGTGTAAATGTCCACGTTTTAGTGATAGATCTTTAAGTCAAAGTTTAGGAAGGTTTATCGGGTTTAATGGTAAACAGGTTTTACATTAGGGATATTTGCGACCAGTTCAGATGTAAGTTACGCAGAACCGGTTCAGTTTATGCTGGTTACGATTTATTTCTTGATGGCATAACCGGAAACGTACGCGTTCGGAAATACGGATCGGTCAAACGTAACGCGTCTCCGATATGATTGCCGATTTTAACCCTTTGACTGCCGTGTAGGTCACCGGTGCCCTACGCGGCGCACTGAAGTAATTATGTCGATTTCTGTTACTAAGGCGCCTCGATTGTCAAATTCTTTGCTTACCCGACATTGCCTTCTTTTGTTTGTTAATAAATGTTTTAGTCTTTTAGGTCATTTAGAAACAGGTTCATTCTCAGTATGTTTAGATTCGTCTTTCGTAGAATCTACTAGATATTCCGGCGCCTTAGTAATAGAAATCGACATAATTACTCTAGTGCGCCGCGTAGGGTACCGGCGACCTACATGGCAGTCAAAAGGGCTAAGGCACACACACAAAACCTTCTTTAAACACGTCTTGCGTGTCGAAGAGTTATACAAAAATACTATGATTGTTAAATAAACTTGATTGTCGGCTTATGACGTCAAATAATTAAAACAACTTCTACAGTTAAATTTCGCGTTTCTTATTGTTATTTTCTCCAATTACCCATTCCAATTTTCAGTGTCCCTTTCGTTATGACGTCTCTCTCGGCTAGTGTGTCGGAAGCTTGCAGGCGAAAATGTCAAGAACCAGATAAAGTTTCAACTAAATCGAACGTATGTTGGACATACAAAATAAAAGTTCAGCGAAACCTTGACCCAATACGTATGCTGGGGTTTAATTCCGGTCACAGATATCAATTTATCTATTAGCATTCGAGTTCACAAACGCCTTCCACGTAAAAGAACCGTTTTGAATGAAAATCAAACTACAGTGATGTCTTTTAAAAATGAGCGAAAATATAAAAGTATTTAATTTAGAAATGATAACTAAAACCTTGGTAAATTTGGCATTTCGACCCCGCGAATTTACCATTAACATACGGGGCGTGCAATCATAGGGTTAGCGTCAAGACACGGGTTTAAAGCCACAAAGTTCGGAAGCGTTCGAGTTTGGCTCAGTCACAGTGTGGTCTCCAACCAGCCAATGTAACAACAGCTATATCAGCAACGTGTGCAGATCTGATGCCACTTCCAATCGCCTTCTCCTCCTTGCGCCGATAATCCTGAACGCTGAGGTTCCTTTCTTCCCTTAATAACTATCTCCGGGATTATCCAGCGCCAGCCCTGTTTATCCTTGGCTGCGCGACTGGCATCGTGGACTGACGTGGACGCGTTGAGAGTAAAGCGTATGAGAGCGTAGAGGTTGGACCAGCGCATTCCAATCGCCCACAGAGATATACTTGCAGCGGCTTTCAATAGCTAATTAAAACAGAACATGTTTGCCACCAACCTTGGTCAAACATTTGACACCGAAGTGCTGATTTTGAAAGTTTGTATCACAATTGGTGAAAGTGACGATACTTATCTCGTGTTTAACGTTTGGGCGTTAATGTTGTCATAGTTTCGTTGTGTGAATTGTGGCGCGCGCAAGGGAATTTATGTCACGGCACGATATACGTTGCACCTTTGTATGAACTTTTACTGGTGGTAGGACCTCTTGTGAGTACGCACGCGTAGGTACCACCACCCCGACTATTTCTGCCATGAAGCAGTAACGCGTTTCGGTTTAAAGGGTGGGGTAGCCGTTGTAACTATACTGAGACCTAGAACTTATATCTCAAGGTGGGTGGCGCATTTACGTTGTAGAGGTCTATGGGCTCCAATAATCACTTAACATCAGGTGGGCTGTGAGCTCGTCCACCCATCTAAGCTATAAAAAAAAAACACGGACGTATTCGTTTTCGCGACAAAATTAATTTAAAATTATAGCTGTATTACAGTTTTGTTTTCCGTACCTAATCAATAGTTAGTAAGTAGCCTAAGAGGCGAACTACGCTCGGTTTGGTAGTTGAGCTGACTGAGCTCAAACTGGGAGCACTGGTCCTAGCAAAAGCAGTTCTTCTTCAGCTCGGATCGGAGACATGACTCACTGAGAAGATCCAGCAAGAAACTTAGCGGGCTGCCTATGGAAGACTATACGGTGTAGGAATCCCTCCCGTGACGCAGAAGGTCAATGACCCGTTTTTCTTTATTGCATTACAATGCTTGTGTGCAGAATGGTTTAGTTCTTTTTCTTAAATATTTTTTTTATGATTGTATGTGTCCAAATTCACTGGTACCACAAATCGTCTTCGTTATTCGAAACGGTTCCCTTGCGTTTGTTGCAGCGTTGCACACGCAAAATGACTTGACAAATTACATGGAATTCGACCTCTCTACAATTCACGTTTCAAACCCACGTGCACGGACCGCGAACGAGAACGGCATTCGATACATTTGCAACACAACACTGACCGCATTGATTGATTCGTTAATAATTTCTATACGATGCAGTTGACATAGTGAGACAGTAGCTAGAGGCGACCGCGCACAGAACTCGGCGAGATGTAGTTCGGATCGAACGAGAAGAGCTATGGTTGCAGAGCTATTGGTAGTTGTTACAGTGAGATGGTAGCTAGAGGCGATCGCGCACAGAACTCGACGAGATGTAGGTCGAATCGAAAGAGAAGAGCCATGGGTTTTACAGAGCTAATTACAGTATCTATAGAATTATAGTTAGGGGGTTTTAACGACAAAGGGAAGATCTTCCCCCGAGCGGGTGATATTGCTCGGTAGACCGACGGACCGGATGTTTTTTTTTATGATGGACTGTTTACTGGTGACCCGGAGGCCTTTACAGTTTCACAAGGACAGGTGGGCGAGCAAGGACTCAACCAGAAGGGGCGGGATTTGCTAACAGCTACTGCCGGATGCCGAATTAATCTACTGCCGGATCGGAATCGCGACCCGCTGACTAGATCCGGCGAGAAACTCAGCGGGCTGATGTTTAGGTTAGGTTGCACGTCGAACTCTTTGTCGAGTTAAACGAATACGGTTACCGTGGTCTCTACTCCTACTGTCAGAGCGGAAGGCGTCTAATGCAAGGCTTATTGGGTCTGATGGATCCGTAAGGAAGTCCGAATGTTGTTGTTCGAATTTTCTATTTAGGCCTTTCCAATTTCACCAGGAGAAGTGGGCCAGCAAACGCTCAGTTAAGAGGGTTGGGATTCGCTAACAGCCCCTCCGAAGGAGACCTAATAACTCAAGGGCAGGGAGATCACATCATTGCACTTTAAACTAGTTCTTATAGCTAAACGATCACGGCTTTCACATAAGAAATTCACTGAAAAAGATAGGGCGTGCTTAATATCTACCTCTAGGACAGTTTCGGTTATTTTGTTGCATATATTACAGAGCGTGTAAAAAGATTTTTTAAATAATATACTAATGCCTATTAATTCTTATGCTCTTCACCATTTCATAGACATTAACTAATTTGAGCCCCGACTCCTAGTCCTGGTTATAATAATTTCTTTTTTGGTGCAGCTCATTACTTTTTGTCATTCATAAAAACAGAAATACGGCAGTAGCGTATCTTGAATCATCATTCAGCTGATATTGTTTGAGTTTTCCATCCACTTGAGCACCAGACAAGAAACATCGACACCAGAAAAAGATTACTACCAAGTACCAAGTTTTTTATTTCATTTTATTTTATTAATAAACAAATCGTATTGTTTAAAAATAGTTGCTTTAGGTCATACATTGTTCAGGAAGGAAATTGGAGAACGTGTCTAAAGGATGACATAAGTAATGGCAATGGTATGTTGCTTTTTAAAAGCAAAACAATAACAAGTTTTTTTTTTTAAATTAATGTTTCCAAAAGTTACGGCCTATGACGCCTACGTCTAATGTATAAGTTACACGTATAACAAACAATTATTTACGCGGCATAATAATAAACTATTTATGCTAATAATTTATGTTTATTCATTGAAATACCTTCAAAAGCGTATAATGGTGATTATCTCGACGACCTTGAAGATTTGATAATAAATAAAAAATTACGTTATGTTTTCAAATGAAACCTGTTCACGTGCTTTGTCTATGTTATGTTTTTTTGTATTTAATCCATCGTTTGTCTCTTTCGCAGATATGAAGGAGAGCGAGAGGGCCGACAAGCTAGGAATACGAAATGCGAATTTTAGAAATCGAACGACATTTTGGCGCGCTCTCTTCATTACCACGAAAAAATTATAATCTGTGATTGTGCATTTTACAAATGATTAAATAAGATTATGTACCGTTTGTGTTATTAAGTTAGCGTTAAAATAAGTGATTCCGTTCAGTCGATGCTCAAACGCAACACATAAAAATAAAAGTGCTCAAATTTTTTTTGTTTCGTAATAACAAAATACGTCCATGACTATACAACGCAGTGAATTGAATTTTGTGATTTCCTCGTGTGCTTAGTGTTTATTCGTATGCCGCAGTGATTTGATAGTAGAGTATTTCGTTGAGAACAACGCCATCTATTATGAAATAGTGGAAATGTTGTGTATATGACGCGATGGAGGCCGGTTACATACCGGTGAACGTTGGGAATGGCGGCGGGAACGCTCCGCCCCTCGCCGTGGTGGCGCCACCGGTCAACGTCATCCGAGCGCCCGGACTGAAGCGCGGGAAAATGGAAGAAGCTATTTCAGATAGGGTGAGTTTGATGTCGATTTATTTCTTTTAATGTCAGAGACGCATTGAACGATTTTGGGAATTATTTGTAGCCATAAAAACTGAACAATCGTGATTAGTGAAAAATAGAATGAATTTCTAAAATGCTCTTTTTTCGAATTGAATTTTTATTATAAAGAATATGAATTTCTCATTTCATATGATTAACAGTATTTTCCTGTTTTAATAATATGCGTAATGTTAAACAATTAAATCGAAAATACATCCTTTATTATGAATTATTTTAATTTTGTTTAATTATATTTCTATGAATAGATTGATCAATAAATAATTGACATTGTGATTCGAATTTTAAATGATAATCGGAAGGAAGTAATTAATGCTTATTTATGTGACAGTTTTGTTTGTCAAAAGAACTCCAAGACTGCCGTATTTTATGTTTTACCAAATTCTTAGAGTCGAATTTTATCTTCGATCTTGAATGCAAAGAGGAATGGTGGAAGGAATGCAGTGGAGAATTGAATCAGGGCGTAAAAACGTTGCATTCTTTGAAACAAACTTAGCGGATAATTGGTGCGTGTCGCGATGCTATTAAAGTTTTGTTTTCGATGTTCGAAACGCTGGTGGCTTGATGAGCGAGAAGCGCGGTGTTGTCTATTGTCGGTCCAAGCGTCGAAGCCGATTTCTCGATTACGTTAATAAGCTTAAGAACTGAGTTTAAAAATGCATTTGATACAAAATCGAGGAGTCGAATTTGGTTTAAGCGACATTTTTGCAACCTTACAGAACAAAAGACTTAATTAGCTATTCGAATGGGATAAGCTTAATTGAAGTTCAATTAAAAACATCGAACTGTTGATGCTGATACTAAATAATACGCACATTTAATTACAAAGATAAGTGTCGCGTAGGTATTAAGCGAAATGTCGCTTAAACCAAATAGTCTTTCATCCCTTAATATAATAACAAACATAATACAGATTGCGCAGCTATGGTGCAATAGCACATGACACGAAAACGGCTACTATCTAATACCAATATGTTATTGATTTTCACTCAGACCTGTTTGCTTAGTTCGAGTTTTTTAACGTTCTCGATTTCGTAAAAGTTAACTCAAATTCGTATGCAGTTGGAACAGCGCCCCGAGCGATATGTAGGCAAACTCCATACAAATTTTAGTTAACCTTTTTTTTTATCCTATCTCTGATAACCTTGAGGGCCTATTTCAGCTTCGCCCTAACATGTAGGTGAGCTCACGGGGCTCAAACCTGACGCCGTTGCTAACACAAACCCTAGCAAGAGCCGTGCTTCGCAGAATCTACCACCGGATCGGAAACGCGACCCACTGAGAAGATCCGGTGAGAAACTCAATGGATCGAGAGGATCCGAAATGACGTGTTGAGTTAACCTCTACGCTATCGAGAACCTTAAAAAACTCGCGCTAAGCATACTGGAATCGAAATTGTACTTTTAGTGTAATCACTATTATAGGGTTACCAAAAAAAAAAAAACTAAATTAATGCGGTGATCTAATTGGTTTGAATACATTGAAAGTTATTAATATATTTTTTTTTTGTGGCTAGCCGAGCTGATGGCCGAGTTAATGATGTGTCCATCGCTCATGGACAACACCAAGGTCGTGGTCGTAAGCCGCTGACTAATGCTAAAAGAATTTGACAAGAATGAATATTTGAATTGCAATTCGGAATATTCTTACCATAGTACACGCCTACATACAATATGCCATAACATGAATTTCTTGAATCAGTTGAGAAATAAGTTGAAAACTAATATTTGATGGTAGAGATAAATCGGTCGTCAAAAATAGGTGCCGGCATCAAAATTTACCATTTCAAACCGTGTTAACTGTGAGATAGTCTACCCTTCGGCGACAAATTAAAAAAAAAAACTTAAATTAACCTAGTTTATCTTAAAAACACAGGTTCTATAAAAATAGAAAAAATCTTGGAAGCCTTCGTTTAAAGAGCGAACGCCGCCGCGCCGGGCCTTTCAAGATGTTGTTCATTTGAAGAACGTCTTCAGTGTGAAGGGTCTTTGAAACGAACGAATATCACAGAATATTTACTTTTTATTAATAAATGTTGTGTTTTGTTTGTCTTTTATTTTGTAGATTAGGCGGCTTGAAACGCCAACTTATGGAATAGTTGTAAAAAAGTAGGTGTTTTTGAACACTTATAGAGAAATATTAAGGGTTCGGCGAGTAAATTAACCCACAGACACAACTCGCTGAGTTTCTCGCCGGATCTTCACAGTGGGTCGCGATTCCGGTAGATTCAACGAAGCACTACTCTTGTTAGGGCCAATGTTAGCAAATTCTCTCGGGCTGAGCCCGTGAGCTCACCTACTTGTCATGTTACGCTGGCATAACCTTCTAAAGTTACCTACCAGCTTCGGTGGGAAGAAAAGTTGCCATACTAAATCTGGCGTGACAATTCAGAAATACTCTCGGGTCAAAGAATTCAATGTCAAATCCAAATGCCAATAAATGATACAAGAAAATTTTAAAGCTTACGAATTCTTGGTTTCTTCTTTTTCTTACATGGTTGGACGAGTTCACAGCCCTGGAGTTTAGTGGTTATCAGAGCCCCTAGACATCTGCAACCTAAATGCCGTCATCCATCTTGAGACAAGAGTTCTAAAGTCTCAGTTTTTACACTACAACGGCTTCTCCAATCTTCATCGCTGAAATAGGCAGGGTTGTAGTACCTACTCGTACGGGCACATGCCAGTAACCAGTAAAACAGTTTTTAAGTAAACATTTTTAAACGCGAGTCAAAAATTAATCGAACTGTTTGTTCATTTATACAACTAGTCTGTACTCTGTAAAATTAGTTAGTACAAGTAGTACAAGACAATATTATGTTTTTTTTATTAATTTTTTTCTATACCTATTTCAATAACAGTTAGTGGCTTATAGTAACTATGAGTCGTGGCGGAAGTGGAACTGTACTGTGAGAAATTACAACAAAGTAGAACTGAATTTGGAGTTCTTCAAGAAATTCTTCTATCGAGTTCAACAGTGAACTCTCTGTTAACTATTATCATTAAACTGGGACATTATTTTTCATCTCGTTTCGTTTAATTGAAATTTCAGATAAATCAATTACATTTTTCATACCTATAACGAATCATACAATGTATATTTTGATGACTTTGTAAAACTCATCGACGGGAACAATTGCAAAGCAAAAAGTTGATTACCATACACATAATAATGAGAACAAGAAAGCAACCAATAATTATTAACTATTGTACATAATAATGATGTCAATCATTTAATAAAATATGACTAAGTAACCACTAGATAAAAAGTTCATTTTACATACTTAAATGTTGAATTTCAGAAGATTGTTTTGTTCGAAATTGTATTTAAAAAAAGAATGATGTCATCGTGCCGCGTGTTGAGTTTAGATTAAAAATCATGTTTTGCAGAATGATCATGACAGTATACCTATGTAATAACTAGACGAGATCATATACAAAAACGACATAACATAGTTCTCTGCCTTTCTATTTGACTCGCACTTTTACCGGCTAGGGATTGCCAGAGTTGGGTTATTCTCAATAAATTTAGCTTTTCTAGCTCTTACTGTTTGCTGGTCACTGTCGCCATCGTAAATGCCACTGGCTACAGCCAAGAAATTGTCCCATAAAAAAGCTAATGGTACGTGGCGTCAAATATCTGGAAACGCATTGTGAATGAATAGGATGGCGCTCGGGGAAGTAAGGATGAAATTTGGCGCGATGATAATGGTATTATGTTAAATCCTCAGAGAATTTGGATTCCGGATCATGATTTACTATATCAACTGATTGTTGTTGCATGAATCATAACAATACCGTTAAATATTTCCATAGCAACTGTCTATAAATCTGGATTCCGCCACAAAAGTAAGATAGTCTCATGTTCGAAATGATATTGATAGGCACGTTAAAGAAACCCTTGGCTTATTGACCCAACTCTGAGTGACCTTGCGTCATTAGACGCAAAGTTGAGATAGCGAATAATCAGTCCGTTATTAATATTTCTTGAAATTAATATAATAGTTATTATCATATATTTTAAAATCCGTTTCATTGCGCCCGATAAGTGACTTTATTTACTTACTTTTATTTATTTTTCTTTTAGAGGATATCTTGATATAATTTTGTTTTATGTTATTAATTTGTTATTTACGTCAGTATGTAAGGTTTGAACTTCCAAACCATTCAGTACGGCAATAGTAATAACCAGTGTTTGCTGGTAACCCTGGCGGCTTCTAATCATGAGGATAGGTACCTAAGCGTTCTCTACATTTAATAAACACGTAACCAGCAGAAACGAAAATTAATAAACGTGCCCTCTCTTGCGACCTCGGAATTGAGAGACGCGAATGATACCACTACGCTTACGAACGATTAGTACAAGCATTGCAATATAATGGTTTATCACAATGTTATTGGTAGTTTGAAAACTAAATACCCTACATAGCAAACCGAAGTAATATTTAATTTCACATCCTTATCCTCTTTGATGCGTGTGCAGATTTTCAAGTTAATCTGACGTCTTAAAGTCGTCAAAAATAACGTTGAATTATTCCGTTATAAATTATAAACGAAACGCACACACATACCGAGCTAACAATAGCGTGTTAATAATTTATAATGAATTTATCACGGCATGATTGTGTCGATGAAAAAATGCATACCGCAAAATAATAACTTTCCGACGATAGGTACTTGAAACTGACAATGATTAACAACCCTATTCCTGATATCAGAATTACTAAAAAAAAAATACATTGGTAAAATATGTATCCTTTTTATTTCACACACTGGTATCCCTAAAATGGGTTAGACCCAATCAGTGACGTTACGTGCGCTGAGCGCGGCACACGTTCGGAGCTGCGTTACAAATCGTTTTCGTACGATTTAAACCGTATGATTTTCAAACCAGAAAGCATCGGTGTCGCTAATAATAATAATAATAATCGATTATAAAATCTAAATGTTCACGGTGCT